ACGTATTCAGTTTTTTCTGTATGTGGTCAAAGAGCGACGCATACTCACAAAAACCAGAAACAATAGTCTGAAAGTGGACCTTTTTGGAGTATAGCATTGCTGACCAGATATGGTTTTCCAATTATCCATTGAAGAGCTCTTTCCGTTGGATTTTGTAGAGAATTCTACGGGCTATCTTTTGAAAAAAAATCTAGTCAGAGTATTGAAAACCGAGAGAGATATTCACAAAATACTGAGAGACTCATTTTTTATGCGCCACCCGTTAGTACTACAAAGTCCGTTAGGTGTCACTTCCCAGAAGGCTTTTATAATTGGGAAAAACACGTGTACGTGTTCTTCAACTAATACAACTTTGTGTACAAAGTTGAACAAGAATCCGACGTTAATTTTATTATTGGAAAAATCGTGACTATTTTTTATCAAAAACTCGTTCGGAAAATCAACATGACGTTTTTCCGAAAAATTATGATATAGCTATCCGGTTTCTCTTGAAGAGAGTTTGTATCAGATGATACTTAAAATAGTATTTTTTCCTCCAGGATGAACGGTTTGATAGAATGAATGAATAGAAATGCGTATAAATGTATAATTACTTTTTTTTTACTGCTCAACCAGCGATGATAAAATATTGTAATTGTCGTGACTATTCATACAAACAAATAATACCAAAAGAAATCAGTAACTGTTAAATGTTTCTTGTGAATATTGTATTTAAATTTTGATCATGTTGGGCAACCGGAATCGTTTATTTATAGGTGTTTTTTTGCACATATAGGGTTTTGGATTTTAGAATTCTCATAATCTTATGAGTAAACTGTAAATTATAATTATTTATATTCGAAATCTGATGATAATTTTCGTCATGATTTTTATATGCGCTCAATATTTCAACGTCATTTGAACCTCGATTGTCGATATCGTGGGGCCAGAACTGTTTCGTGAAATATATCGTAGCTTCTTTCATTACTTTTCCCGCATCGTGATTTTATGGTGAAGGTTTGAATAGACTGCATTTTTAAGGCGGTGTGTTTAATATTTTAGCGGGTTGGTTATGATCGAATATTACGTCAATATTGAAAACAAATATGTTTAGGGTTTTGAACAAGACTGTTAATCATTCCCTAACTCCCTGTAGCACGGAGAGCCAGTCTTGATAGCGAAGGGACGAATATTATTGAAGTTTTATCTTTTTTTACATTTTAAGCTGCTTCTAAAACAACAATAAACAAAATGAAATAAAAAATTAAAATCAAACTTAAAATAAATGTGTCATCTGTGTTATCTGACAGATCTGAGTAATCTGCGACATCTGTCAAAGAATCTAGATAACAGAACGCGGTTTGTTTCAATTATTCTGGATAGTAGCGGGCAAAGCTAAGATATCATAAGATACTTTTTGCGCGAGAACCTACATCACGTGAACCCGCAGGACACTTGTAATACCAGCCAAATACCTTTTTTTTTATCATATTTAAGTCATATACTATAACTAGTAGAATTTTTATGTCTATACTGCATCTGTATCATAGTAAAGCTTTTCGTTCTTTACAAATTTTTATAATAAAAGCATTCTCAGACAAATGTTCACAAGTCTAACTACGTGCTTGCTTTATTTGGTATGTGCCAGGTGTTAGATCACTCAACTGACTCTCTGAGAACTTTATCTTTTGTTACATCGAAAACAAATAAAGGTCTGTATGCATTAATTAATGCACATACAATGGCAAAAAAATCGCCTACCTTTTTAAAATTGTACTTTTGATATCACTCTATCAAATATTTCTAAGATGTTCTAGTGCGTCGCGAAATCCGCGGCCGGCCACCAAAGCATATTCAATTTTTAACCAATTAATCACACTTTCTCGATTATTATAAATATTATGTTATGTAATTTCAGCTTCGTTACACTTATGCGACTTGTCCAGCTAACGGTCTTCATTTTTCGCTCTTTTTCAACCAACTATGGCGATAAAGTTAGAATAATTGTTGTTTTTATCATCAGAGTAAAGGTAGCATAGATGATAGTAGGGGTAGTAATGTGAATGAGTTAGATGATAATCCGATGGAGTTGACTTTAAATAATTCATTATCAAAAACATTTTAACTATAGAATTTTTTTTTAAAAAAACTATAGTATTTTTCCACTTGACCATCAACTTCAGACATCATCCATAACATCATGAATACTATCTACAACTTTTTCTTTCGATATTAATTCACAAAAATACATCGTCTTGTAACATAAGTGATACTATTTCATTATCAGTTTACCGCTTAGTTAATTCGTATAAGTATTGTTCGGTTTGTGGTATTGAATATAACAAAAATAATGCAGTATCTTTGTCAATTAATTTTGTACTTTGCATTTTGAAGAAAAACAGGTTGTGAGTCATGTAATTGATAGCGCTCGTTCTACTGTGGTTAAACATTTTGTACCTAAACATTTAAGCGTCGGACATTTAACACGGGAACAGTTAATTAATAATCATACTAGACCATTAGCTAAACTCATTGACTTCTCATTTCTTTTGAAATAACTATTGCACAAACAGCAATTGTTTGATGGTTTAAGGACAACTTTAGAAGCCATTAGCATAAGTGCAGAACAAATATTATACTTACTAAAGATTAAGATACACTTAACTCCTAACCATACTTTTTATATGCGCTCAATATTTCAACGTCATTTGAACCTCGATTGTCGATATCGTGGGGCCAGAACTGTTTCGTGAAATATATCGTAGCTTCTTTCATTACTTTTCCCGCATCGTGATTTTATGGTGAAGGTTTGAATAGACTGCATTTTTAAGGCGGTGTGTTTAATATTTTAGCGGGTTGGTTATGATCGAATATTACGTCAATATTGAAAACAAATATGTTTAGGGTTTTGAACAAGACTGTTAATCATTCCCTAACTCCCTGTAGCACGGAGAGCCAGTCTTGATAGCGAAGGGACGAATATTATTGAAGTTTTATCTTTTTTTACATTTTAAGCTGCTTCTAAAACAACAATAAACAAAATGAAATAAAAAATTAAAATCAAACTTAAAATAAATGTGTCATCTGTGTTATCTGACAGATCTGAGTAATCTGCGACATCTGTCAAAGAATCTAGATAACAGAACGCGGTTTGTTTCAATTATTCTGGATAGTAGCGGGCAAAGCTAAGATATCATAAGATACTTTTTGCGCGAGAACCTACATCACGTGAACCCGCAGGACACTTGTAATACCAGCCAAATACCTTTTTTTTTATCATATTTAAGTCATATACTATAACTAGTAGAATTTTTATGTCTATACTGCATCTGTATCATAGTAAAGCTTTTCGTTCTTTACAAATTTTTATAATAAAAGCATTCTCAGACAAATGTTCACAAGTCTAACTACGTGCTTGCTTTATTTGGTATGTGCCAGGTGTTAGATCACTCAACTGACTCTCTGAGAACTTTATCTTTTGTTACATCGAAAACAAATAAAGGTCTGTATGCATTAATTAATGCACATACAATGGCAAAAAAATCGCCTACCTTTTTAAAATTGTACTTTTGATATCACTCTATCAAATATTTCTAAGATGTTCTAGTGCGTCGCGAAATCCGCGGCCGGCCACCAAAGCATATTCAATTTTTAACCAATTAATCACACTTTCTCGATTATTATAAATATTATGTTATGTAATTTCAGCTTCGTTACACTTATGCGACTTGTCCAGCTAACGGTCTTCATTTTTCGCTCTTTTTCAACCAACTATGGCGATAAAGTTAGAATAATTGTTGTTTTTATCATCAGAGTAAAGGTAGCATAGATGATAGTAGGGGTAGTAATGTGAATGAGTTAGATGATAATCCGATGGAGTTGACTTTAAATAATTCATTATCAAAAACATTTTAACTATAGAATTTTTTTTTAAAAAAACTATAGTATTTTTCCACTTGACCATCAACTTCAGACATCATCCATAACATCATGAATACTATCTACAACTTTTTCTTTCGATATTAATTCACAAAAATACATCGTCTTGTAACATAAGTGATACTATTTCATTATCAGTTTACCGCTTAGTTAATTCGTATAAGTATTGTTCGGTTTGTGGTATTGAATATAACAAAAATAATGCAGTATCTTTGTCAATTAATTTTGTACTTTGCATTTTGAAGAAAAACAGGTTGTGAGTCATGTAATTGATAGCGCTCGTTCTACTGTGGTTAAACATTTTGTACCTAAACATTTAAGCGTCGGACATTTAACACGGGAACAGTTAATTAATAATCATACTAGACCATTAGCTAAACTCATTGACTTCTCATTTCTTTTGAAATAACTATTGCACAAACAGCAATTGTTTGATGGTTTAAGGACAACTTTAGAAGCCATTAGCATAAGTGCAGAACAAATATTATACTTACTAAAGATTAAGATACACTTAACTCCTAACCATACTACGCTCGCTCACACAAACAATCTCCGAATTACTATTACGCCCAAACCGAATTCTAACCAAAACTCTTACCACCAAAAAACAGAATCTCTGCACTAACTATTAGTGATATACGCTGTCCACATCAACACATCCTCCTTTTCCTCTTTTTAGTAAAAAGTGAACAAAGTTGATTGATTTTAGTATAGCGTTTGATCAGAAAGGCTTGTTAAGCCTTAACATCATACATTATTTCTTACCTTTGACACAAACACAGTACCGTCTGTTCTTGTACTGTTAGTTACACTGCGTCCCTTTTTCTCTCTCTATTCACCATATGTGAATAACTTGCACATTTCGAATTTTGAAGATTCTATTCATTCTCTTTAGCACGTATCTGTTATTTTCTTTTCTTTCTCTCAGTTTTGTAAAATAAAATTTTTCGAATGATACCAGAATAGAAATCAGTCAAGAAAAGCAGAACACATAAGAAAAAAACCCGTCAACAGTGATACACAACCTGTTTTTTCTCACAAAATCAAAACATATTGCATAATCTGTTTGCTTTCGAATGAAAATGAAAGCACTTTTGCTGGTTTACTGTGTAATGAAAATTCATTGTTTTGGTTTGCTGTTAAGTTTCTTGGCGACGTGTTCCGTCGTTGGTGCCTTCGAAAAAGGCGACGTCGTTGTGCAGCACGACTTCGAAGGCATTACTGCATCGGAAATGTGGAATACAGAGCTGGGGCCATTGGTACAGTTGGTCGCCAACGACAAAGGTGGACAAGCGCTACGTATCGAACGCAAGCTTGATACTGCCCCTTCAACAATGGTCCGTATCGAATTGCCTGCTCAGTCGCTGCGCGGATCAAAGATTCGAATCAAAGCAACTGTCAAAGCTGAAAATATCAGTGCACCGCCCAGCTCATGGAATGGAATCAAAGTGATGTTAAATACGCAGGGGCCGAGCGGTAACAATTGGCCGCAGCAGAATCTTCCACAGGGCACCTTTTACTGGCGCGCGGCAAATTATGTGGCAAGTATTCCCAATGATGCTGAAAGAGCTTTGATCATACTCGGTTTAGAAGCTGTAACCGGCACCGTATGGTTCGATGATGTGATAATCACCATCGAAAGCAAAGCTCGCCCGCGTCCACCTACGCCACCGACTGGACCGTATTACAAAGGACATAATTCATCACGCTTGCGTGGCGCAATGATCGGAGCTAATCTTAAAGAAAAAGATTTTCGTGATCTAGCTGCTTGGAAAGCCAACCACGTGCGTTGGCAATTGATCTGGAATGGGTTCCCTCACAGCCCGGCGGATGATGCTGATGTTGCTGCTTACGATGCATGGTTAGAAAGCGCACTCATACACCTTGATTCGATGCTGCCGCTGTGCCGCCAACTGGGTCTGCACATTCTTCTCGACTTGCACACCCCTCCTGGTGGTCGCAATCCGGAGAAACAATGTCGAATGTTTCAAGAAAAGCGCTTTCAGGACGCTTTTCTTATGGCATGGGAAAAGATGGCACGTCGCTACAAAGACGAATCAATCATCTGGGGCTATGATTTAGTCAATGAACCGGTCGATGATAATCTCATGGATGGTTTGATGGACTGGCGTGATCTAGCAATCGTCGCCACCCAACGTATTCGTGCCATTGATCCAGATCACGCAATTATTATCGAAGCAGCACCATGGGGCGGACCAAACGCATTAGCTGATTTCGAGCCACTACCCATTGATAAAATTGTTTATTCATTTCACATGTATGAACCTGGCGAGTTCACACATCAGAACGTCTACGACGACGACGCTTCACCTATTGCCTATCCGGGAAAAATTCGTGGAGACGTCTGGTGGGACAAAGAACAGTTACGTCGTGTGATGCAGCCAGTCTTAGAATGGCAACGTGATTACAACGTCCATATTTATGTTGGCGAATTTTCTGCGATTCGCTGGGCGCCTGGCGACAGTGCTCATGCTTATTTGAGGGATCTGATCGACCTTTTCGAAGAAAACGAGTGGGATTGGGCATATCACGCATTCCGCGAATGGCCGGGATGGAGTGTCGAACATGTAGGCAACAAGACTCATACTCAAGTCGCCACACAGCCTACTGACCGACAATACCTGCTGATGAACTGGTTTGCGAAGAACAAGCAATAGAATGGCATAGGTTTGTTGTCGGCAAAAGAACAGACACTGGATTGTTGAACTCGAAGTTTGCATGCGTGAAGTTTTGATAAGTTGTTAAGTGCTTTCATTCATAAAAGCCTATGGTTATTAGCGACCAAAACGTTTGAGGCACAGACTTGTTAATTTTTCTCGATTTAGACAGGTGGCTGTATGTATGTTTATGACGTTTTGTCGAACCGAATACTTTGTATTTCTTGCACGCACATTGATTATTTTTGCAACCACTCCGACAAACTCCGATACTATAACCGAACTACTAGGAATAAAGAGCTCGCTTGACTCGCATTTTGAAGATGACACTCTGGAATATCAATCCATTAAAAAAAATCAATATAAACCTGTTGAAAGCGTTTGAGATACCTCCGAATTTTCCATAGATCTTTAAAAACCTATTTTAAAAGACTCTTTTGAAAACTTTTATGTTTATGTTAACATGCTTCCCGGTTTCATCTTTCGAATGGCGAAAACTCAAATTCGCTGGCTGCTTTCTATCAAGAGTTATTGAAAAAATGGTAAAGTGTCTTCTATTTCGAAATGGATAGTAGATCTGGAATGTATCGATGCAAAATATAGGTGATGGAAGGATGACGAAACAAGAGGACAAAATTTAGATATTTTTTGAATTATTTTATCCACAACCACAGTACTACTTCTAGCTAGAAAAAAAAGAAAGAAAGAAGAAGCAAGAAAAAAATTAATATAAACCCGCTGAGAGCTTTTGAGATACCTCCGAATTTTCCACAGATCTTTTAAGTAACCTACTTTAAAACACTCTTTTGAAAAATTTACTGTTTATGTAAACATGTAAACGCTATTTCTAGCTCGAATAATGTTACACAGAAAGAATGTCAGATGATTTGTTTTATGTGAAGATAGTTTAATGTTTATCAGAATAATCTAATGACAGAAAAGAGAAAAACACTGTCGAACACTATTTTTACGTAAATAAAAAGAAGAGAAAAGTCTTTTCTTTTTGAATGAGTATACGAGAACGCAAAGCAACGAAGAAAGAAATAAAAAAGTTCCCGTGCCGGGGATCGAAGTCATTTCTACACAGACACAACCCGGGCCTTGACGGTGAGAGCGTCAAATCCTAACCACTAGACCACGCGGGATACCGAACCTATGCATTGCACAAAAGGAGAGGAGGAAAACAAGAGGAAAAGATA